AGATAGAAAGACAGATAGACAGAAAAAGAGAGGTAATAGGAGAGATGGAAAGGCAGAGAGACTGATAAAAAAGATAGAAAGGTAGAAAGAGAGACACACAAAAGCAGAGATAGAAAAACAGAAATCCAAGGCCATACTCTGTACTGTATGTTTCTGTGATCAAAACAACATTTAATCATTTAAGCTGAGAAAATGGGCGTTTAGGATTTCCAGTGGGATTTTACTTAAGATTTCAAGTCACACTTTTATTACACGAAGTAATACAAGCAAAGCTTCTCATTCCGGAGGGAAAAGAAAACAACTGCATGAAGCTGCCCATGTAAAAGCAAACGTTTAAAAACAATGTTAAGATTCTGGCAATACGTCTTGTTGATTATTACCTCTCATTTCTCAATGTACACATTGGGCTTGAGGCTGCATGTACCATTGTGGATTGAACATGAGGTGACGCTGTTCTCCACTAGGGAGCTGCGTCCAGTCGCCAACAGAGGGCAGCATTTCAACACTTCCAAAATAGGAAAGAAACAAAGTTTGAGAAGTTTCTCCATCCCTTCACAACTCAGCTCCTTTTGGTTTTGTCATCTCTCTCTCTCTGTTCATTCCATTATATTCTGTATTCCCTGTCTCTTTACATTGCTTTGTCTATTTATCTGTCTCTCTGTCCTTCTTTCTTTACCTATCTCTCTGCCTTTCTATCTCCCCATACCTATCCCAATGCATTCCTATCTCTTTACCTGTCTCTGCTTTATCTGTCTGTTTAACAGTCTCTCTGACATTCTATCTCTCTTTGAGTCTCTTTGTTTTTCTATCTCTCCTTTCTCTCTTTTTATCAGTTTTTCTCCCTTTCTCTCTCTCTATCAGTATATGTGCATTTCTGTCTCTTCATCTGTCTTTCTGCCTTTCTATCTCTCACTATCCGTTTGTCTGCCATTCCATCTCTCTAAATCAGTCTTTCTGCCTTTCTCTCTCTCTTTACCAGTCTCTGTGCCATCGTATCTCTCTTTACCTGTCTCTCCTCTATTCTATTTCTCTTATCTGTCTTTCTATCACTCCTTATCTCTCTTTCTGCCTCTATCTTTCCTGCTGTATATTTCTAGCTCCGGTTGTCCTCTTATCCTCTCACTTTCTGCCTGAACAGACCCTCCAAAGTCTCCACCCAAACCTCTGCCTCCCATTTTCCAGAGTTTGGAACCAAAGCAGACATCAGCAATAGCAAAAGCCGTCAGTGTCTGTGATGGATAAGTCAGAGATGGTTCTGGGTAGAACTGCAGCCAATGTCAATGTATTCCTAAAGTAGGTAGGGAATTTTAGAGGGTCATATAGTGTCCTTCACTTACACCTCCGCCTGCTTTTTAAATGGGGAGAGGGAGCAGGGGAAAAGGAATAGATTGTCCAGTGTAGGGCAGCAAGTGTCTCCTGTGGAAACGGGAGAACAATGGACCGAGCAGTGTCTGAACTCAGGAATTCCCTGAGCTTTGGTTCTGTACACAGAACCCCTCGACTTTAACTCATATCCAATCCAAACCTCAATTGTCATTTGCTCAATCAACAATGCACATGAATATCAGATTGTTTCAGAGATTGTAGGAACTGCAGATGCTGGAGAATCTGAGATAACAAGGTGTAGAGCTGGATGAACACAGCTAACCCTAACCCTAGCCCTAACCCTAACCCTAACCCTATCGCAGCCCAATGGTATCAATGTGGACTTCACAAGCTTCAAAATCTCCCCTCCCCCTACCGCATCCCAAAACCAGCCCAGCTCATCCCCGCCTCCCTAACCTGTCCTTCCTCCCACCTATCCCTTCCTCCCACCTCAAGCCCCACCCCCATCTCCTACCTACTAACCTCATCCCAACCCCTTGACCTGTCCGTCCTCTCTAGACAGACCTATCTCCTCCCTACTTCCCCACCTACACTCACCTTTACTGGCTCCATCCCCGCCTCTTTAACCTGTCTGTCTCCTCTCCACCTATCTTTTTCTCTATCCATGTTCTATCCGCCTCCCCGCTCTCCCTATTTATTTCAGAAACCCCTTCCCCTCCCCCATTTCTGAAGAAGGGTCTAGGCCCGAAACGTCAGCCTTCCTGCTCCTCTGATGCTGCTTGGCCTGCTGTGTTCATCCAGCTCTACACCTTGTTATCTCTGAATATCAAATTACTTGCTTTTCCAAATATGCAGCCATCCTTTAAAACACTGGGTTTTGTTTTGAAAACAGTTCCTTCTCATATCATCCCACAATTTTAAAAAGGAACAAAATAATAAAATAAAAGAGACACGGTCTTTCCATTTATTAGAAGTGTTTATTCATTGGAAACTAGTGTCTGTGACTAATGAGATACACTCAGTAATTACCTCAGCTGAGATATTGCTTGGGGATAAAAAAGAAATAAGCAAATTGCCATCGTGTGCAGACAGATAGAAAATACAATAAATTACAGAAGTTCTTGATTCTTCACATGGAGCATGGTGTATCAAATAATTTATCCCCTAATATACACATACGATCCTACACTCACCTTTACTGGCTCCATCCCCGCCTCTTTAACCTGTTTGTCTCCTCTCCACCTATCTTTTCCTCTATCCATCTTCTATCCGCCTCCCCCCTCTCCCTATTTGTTTCAGAAACCCCTTCCCCTCCCCTCCTCTACTACTGTTCCTGATAATATATGGAAACCTGTCCCTAATTCTATTCTACCCTTACTCTTGCTGTTGTACACATTATCCATCTTAACTCTTTTGCTGTTCAGTAGGTTATTGTATTCACTTGTGTAGAATTTTATTTTTTGCTATTGTTCAATTTATTCATGAGTTTTAATTGCTGGTGGATTTTCAAACCATCATTGGTCCATCCACACTCAATCACTCACAATATTGCAGAATAACATACGGCTTGGTTTACACACACACTCATACACATGCGCATGCACACGCACACACCCTCATTGGCCCATCACCTTCTGTGGAGGGGTAATCATTGTCACATTAGGGGTTTGAGTGGGTTTGGATATAATGCTGGGTGGAGTGTGCTGTTCTGTAGCTACCCCAATGTGAGACTCAGCTTTCCCATCCTTCATTTGCCTGAGTCACCATTCAGGGATCTCCCACAAAATTGTTGCAACTCAATGCCTTGAACTGAGGTTTGGAGATTTTGGCCACAAGAAGCAACAAGTTCCTCACTGGAACTTGAAACCTCCTGAGGATTACCGTGGAGGTCAGCGCAAAAACAATTCCAATTTGATCCAATTCAAATTTTGAGTCACGTATCTGATTTCCAATGATCCTAAGAGTGAAAGATTTAGGACAATCACCGCGATCTTCTAGCAGCAACAATGATCCCCAGATTGTCATTGTTCTTATAAATGTCAGAATGTCCACAGGATTACTTTGCCTATCTCCAGCGAACACCCAATCTAGCAAACTTAAAACTGGAAGATTTGGCCCCTGATGTTGAGGAGATATCTTTGCGTTATTCTTAATGTTAAATGGAAATATCTTTCACTCTTTGTTTTCCTAACTTTCTTCATAATTTCATCCTGAGATAAGAAGAAAATTCTTCCCCCAGAGAGTAGTGAGCCTGCAGAGTTTGCTACCACAGAAAGCAGTCAAGACCAAAATATTGACTGTTTTCAAGAGGGGATAGACATAGGTTTAGGGTTAAAGGAATCAAAGGCTATTGGGAAGAAAGTTGGAACAGGGGGACTGAATTGGATGACCAGCCATGATAGTGATGAATGGTAGAGTGGACTTGAAGTGCTGAATGGCCTCCTTCTGTTCCTATTTTTTTATGTTTATATTTCTGCTGTGTTCAATCTGTATGTTATTCTGCAATATTGTGTGTGATTGTGTATATGTGAGAGAGTGTGATGTGAGAGAGACAGTGTGTGCGAGAGTGTGTGTGTCCATGTGTGTGTGTATGTGTGTGTGTGAGAGAGAGAGTGTGTGAGTGTGTGCATGTGAGAGAGAGAAAATGTGTGAGAGAGAGGGAGTGTGTATGTGACAGAGAGTGTGTGAGAGGGTGTGTGTGTGTGTGTGTGTGTGACAGAGTGTGTGCGTATGAAAGAAAGAGAGTGCATGTGAATGTGAGAGCATGGATGTGAGAGAGAGTGTGTGTGTGTGTGTGTGTGTGCATGTGTGAGTGTGAGAGAGAGTGCGTGTGAGAGAGTGTATGTGTGAGAGAGAGTGTGTGTGTGACAGAGTGTGCGTATGAAAGAAAGAGAGTGCATGTGAATGTGAGAGCATGGATGTGAGAGAGTGTGTGTGTGTGTGTGTGTGTGTGAGTGTGTGTGCATGTGTGAGTGTGAGAGAGAGTGCGTGTGAGAGAGAAAGAGTGGGCATGTTTGCAGGAGAGAGAGTGTGAGAGTGAGTGGGCACATGTGTGTAGGAGAGAGAATGTGAGAGTAAGTATGTGCACGTGTGTATTTGTGTGTGTGAGTGAATGAGTGTGTGTGCATATGTGAGAAATAGAATGTGTCTGTCTGTTTGTTCCTGCCCCTGTGTATGTATGGACAGAATGTCTCCTACAGAGAGTCAACCAGAGAGAAGAATACTGAAGGTTTCTGTGAATGTACAGTGCAGTATTTCATACACAGTCCAGTAGAGGGGTTATTGTTTAGTCTGCACATGTGAGAGTGAGATGGATGGAGAGTGAATGAGTGTACATAATTGTGTATACATGTGTAACCCAGAAATAATTGAACAGGTAACCATCTAAAGCGAATAAAGAGTGATTCAGGACTTGAAACTGTAGCTCTGTTTCTGTCTGCACAGATGCTGCCAAACCAGTTGAGTTTCTCCAGCACTTTCTGTTTGTGGTAAACCATATGTTTTCTGTTGTAGGTCTGCAGTGTGAGATGATGCTGAGAGAATCCTGCAAAGAGAAGGTTGATGTGTGCGTATGGGTGTGTATACACAATTGAGAGAGATTCCAATTGAGGGAAATTATAATCGATGTGTAGGTCTAGACTGTTTGATGCTGAGAGGGAGAAAAAGAGAGAAGGTTATAAATGCGTCCGTGTGACTGTTGACAGATGTTTAACAATGAGATTGAAAGGGTATTTCACCCCATTCTTCAGCTCCTCTCTGAATTTACTCTGGGTTACAACATAAATACCCATGTTAGTGCAGGTACTGAGTACTTGCAACATCTTTGATGTGCAGTTTATGGTGAAGTTAGGGTCAGTGTATGTGTAATATGTTAGCATATCTGCAATTCGCCAGTAGATGATGTACACCATGTGTAACACCCATAACAGGATGAAACTGCCAGAAATGCTCAAAAGCAAAATAATGGATTTCCTGCGACTCTCCATCTCTGGATCCTTGTGTTCATCTATGCAGCTTTTGCCCCGAAGCCCTCTTCGTATTTTATTTGCCACGGAAATATGTCTGACTGTTAAAACATTGAGTAGCAAAATTAAGAACGGGATACAAGGTGTTAAAATGTAATGAATCATTTCTAATGCAGCCCATCCAGGGGATGTATACAAGCTCTTTTTTGTGACACAATTCCAGGGAACATTACCAATTACATATTCTGGTTCCTTTACAAAGCAGCATGGGACAGACTCCAAACAGCCCAGCAAGCTCACCATTGCTATCACTACAGTCGCAGTTTTTTTGGTGCAATATTTTGTTTTCAGCTCCTCACAACAAATGGCCACAAATCGATCCATGGTGAAAGCAACTGTGAGCCACACAGAAACAACAATGGCTGCCATAGCCGAAAAATAAATGACAATACAAACAGAAGTAACGAATATGGAGGAATCTGCAAAATAAATTGAGGCTGACCACCTCAATAAAGGATCAGTGATGACAACAAATAGATCAGAGGCTGCCATTGCCACAAGATAGCAAGTGATACATTGCGAGAGGCCACACTTTCCTCGGTAAAGGATCACAATTGCCACCAGGTTTACTAGCAGAGTGAAGGAGAGAGGAAAAGTTAAATCAGCAGCTGCACATTTAATTTAGTCTTCACATCCTGCACCCTATCCATTAGCACAATATCCAAACATTGCCAACAGTGAAATCTCTGTTAATATTTCAGTTCTTCTCCAGATATTCCAAGTTTCCACCTGTTCCTGCACACTTTTCACTTAATGGAGTGCATTTCACTGCATATAGTGAAAACAATCTGAAGCCTCTTCTAGAAATATTCCCAATAAACCTCCTCACCTTGAATTTTAAACCGTGCTGTGTTATGACCCCTGCTGAGAAGAAACAAAAACAAAGAACCAAACCAATGAACAATGCAAGGGTGGTGGGGCAGAATCAATGGATAAAATTTCCTTTTATAACTTTAATACTAACATTCAAAGTAAAGTCAACATAAATTAAATCTGAATTCATGGAAATTTGCAGCAAGTTAAAAGTTACCAAGTAGACCACTCAACATATAGGGGACCAGTTAGAGCCATAATGCCTGCCAAGACTCCAACTTCCCTCAGGAATAATTCTGGCTCCTTTCCTGGGAAGATATGATTTCCCATTCATGTCAAAGAGCAGTATAAGTTAAATAATGTTTCATGTGTATGACACAATGGTGCATTTCACAGAGGCTTGTGGGTCTGCTCCTAGTTATTATTAGCTATATGTGTCAATCAGGACCTCCCTTATCTGAACTCTCAGTAGAGATATTGTGCACTGTGAGCCAATTCACATCACTCATTAGTTTTAAAGTAACAGAAACAGTTAAAAACTTCTATTTGCATATCACTATCTAATATCCAGCCTTTGATTCTCATTTTCCAACGACATCACCATCTTCTTGGCTCACAAAAATCAAACTTCATGGATCCATCTTACATCCCCTCCCTTGGTCAGGAATGTTAAGTTTTCAGACCCATAGTTCTTAACTCATACATGCCCAGGCCTGTGAATCTTCCAATCCAACTTTCTTACTGACACCTACACAACCTGCAATACAATCCATGATCAAAGTTATCCATCACCGCAGTTCCACAAATCAGGACAAACCTTCTCCTCAAAATAAGAGAAATATTTCTACATTTTCCCAGAATTACTCCGATCAAATGTCCAGCTAGACAATACCATCCACCTCCTCCTCATAAGCAGCAGAAGATTTACTTCTAAATACCCTTTATTGCAAAGGATGGGAGATTTGATAAATCCATGTTACACATGGTGCCTCAACAATCTCTGAATGAGTGTTTATAAAAACATTACAATGCAGGTTAATCCCACATAGTGAAATTATCAACACTTTCTGGTGGTCTGATTCCTGCTCTTAACACACATCCAATCGCAATATTTTCTTTGAAAAAGAATGACCCTGTATTAAGCATTAATATTTGATCAGCAATGACCACTACAGATATGACACTGTGCTGTCAATATTGAAATAGTTGTGAACAGGTTATCATGCAACTGTTAGAACTGGACAGGTGGCTGTCTAAAACAGGTAATGTTGGGAAAGGTTCACATTACTATTAACTGTGATAACATCTTATCTGGAACTCCAACAGCTGAAATTAAAGGATAATAAATGCATCTTATCTGCAATAATAGAGAATCACCCATTCTGTGAAAGACAGTGATTTCTGTTGCTTTGCATTCAAGGCTCTTACAAGTTCTCTAAGCTGATCCATTCTGATAGGTTTTTATACAAAGAATAATTCGTCACTGATGTTGTTATACCCCGGTCATTGAAATTATTTGCAAAGAAATTGAACAAACACATTATCTCACCACATTTGTCTCTGGTGTAAGTGGTGTGGTTGATAAAGCACAAACATTTCACGGTTCAGAAGCTATTGCTTGGGGCTATCGCAGTAATGAAACTGGAATCAGTTCCAAACAGCAATGAACACTTTCATTTACCAATTTCATGTAATTATACTGAGCAAAGTCAATACTGTTGATACAATTATAATGTTATAGATTTCTCCACTCTTTACCTTTACCAGGGACCCCAACATTAGTGCTTCTCTTTGTGCTACAGTTTTCCATTTACAATACTGAGTCCCTGCAATGGGAACAGATTAATGCCACATTCAGCTTGCAGCCTATGAAGAGCTGAGTGTAGTATTGGAGGATTGACAATATTACCTTTTTCCCTCCTGCTCAAGGCTGTTTCTCTGAAAGTAATCACCTGTTCATTCTACATCGACTATTACAGTCAAATCAGAAATCTCTTATCTCCTGGCTCTGTTTCTTCTTCTCAGTACTGGCTGGTGACCCTATGTCCACCTCCCATCCATGTCAATTGATCCAAAACTCTGCTGTCCAAGGTCAGGTTCACTAATTCCCACTCCCACCTCTCCATAAGAATCACTGAAATCCATAATTTTCAAGTTGCCACATACTTTACATTCAAAATGTTTATATTTTGGATAAAAATCACTGTATATTTTTCATGGTCTATTTTATTCAAAACTTTTATAAAGTTACATTTGGTAACAGTGAAAATTGATTCCATATAATGTTAAAGATTTTTTTGTTTAAAAAATGGTAAGCAAAAGTAACAAGAGCGATCTGAGGAAAAGATTTTTCAAACCACGAGTAGTTAGGCTGTGGAACCCATTACCTAGAAATGCTCCTCTGATGCTGCTTGGCCTGCTGTGTTCATCCAGCTCTACACCTTGTTACCTAGAAATGTGATGGAGTCAGGTTCAATTGAAGCTTTCAAGGGGGCAGAGCATAGTTATTTGGATAGTAATAGTGTGTGAGGGCTTGGGACGATAAGCAGGAGATCAGCACTGGATAGCGATGTTTATTTGACACACATTTTTTGATTTTGAAAACATTGGCCTCATCAGATTGCATTGGGATCTTTCCCAATTTCAGCTCTGCTCCGCACATGCTGCTGGGTCATCTAAGGTAGTTGTCCCCTAAAATCCAGAGTGCAGCACTCATCAAAAAGAACTCATTTGGCCTGGCCGAGAGTCAGGGTTAAGACAGAAATCCCTTCGTCTTTTAGGATGCTAACTGCACTTGGTAATCTTAAGTATCTGCTGTCAGTGCGAGGAAATGGGTGAATGGATGAAAGGGTAGGGTGATGGTGTGGGTAAGTATTTGAGGAATATAGGTAATTGGGTGTGGGAAATGAGTGAGTACCTTAAGTGGGGGTGACAACTTGGTGGTTTTATTGCTGGACTGTTAATTCACAGATCCAGGTAGTATTCTGGGGACCCAAGTTCAAATCTCCACTGCGGCTGATGGTAGAATTTGAATTTATATTTTAAAAGAAATCTGGAAGTAAGAGTCTAATGATGACCAATTCATTGTCAGGAGGAAATAACCTCAACTGATTCACAAATATCCTTTATGGCAGGAAACTGCCATCCTTATCTGGTCTGGCCTACTTATCAAAACACACTTAGCTGCCCCTCTGGGCAATGAGGGACGGGCAATAAACCTGGCCTAGACAGCAATGACTTCAATGAAGGAGTTAAACAAGACTAAATTCTGTACTTTTGGGTGGCTCAGTGGCTCACTGCATCAGAGGCACGGGTTCAATTGCATCCTTGGGTGACAGTCTATGTGGATTTTGCATGTTCTCCCTGTGTCTGCATGGGTTTCCTCTAGGGCTCTGGTTTCCTCCCACAATCCAAAGACATGCAATTTAGATGGATTGGCCATGCTAAATTGTCCCATAGTGTCCAGGGATGTACAGGCTAGATGGATTAGCCATGGCAAATGTTGGGGATAGGGTTGGGAGGTGGGGCGCTCTTTGGAGGGTCAGTGCAGACCTGATGGGCCACATGGCCTCTATCTGCATCGTAAGGATTCTATCAGCAAATGTGTAAGTGGGTAGAGTGATAGGCTGACAGGTGAGTTGGTACATGTCTAGGCTGAGGATTGATTGAGTTGGTAGGAAGCTCAAGGGGCAGGTGGGTGGCCTAGTTGAGAGGTAGGTGGGAGTGTAGGTTGATGGAGTGGCAGGTAGGTGAGGTGTAAGGCGGATAGTCAAGATGGGAGGCTTGGTTAAGTCTGGGGCTAGTCAGTTCTGCCTGGAGTTAGTCGGTTGTGGAGCTAGTCAAGTCTCATTGGGGAGGTGGTTGGGTCATATCATCATGGTCAGGTTTGTAGGGGTGCAGTCTGGGCTTCTGCGGGTAGGAGGGAGATTGAGCTGCTGTGTTAGGTGATCAGCGGAGGGTGTTGAGGCCTCAGGGTGGGAGGGGTGGAATTGCTGTGGGGTCAAGGAGAATGTTGGGACTGGGGTGTTCAGTATGCGTGATCAGTGTGTCAGTCATGAAACAATAGTGAGACAAACTTATTTTTACTGTCTAGTATATGTATTCAAGTGAGCACAATGTCACTTTTCGATTTCAATGTCTGACTCTTGCTCAGAGTGTTTTTTGCAAGGTCCTGCAGCTTGTGTCCATTTGATGTTTAAACAATCTGAGCAATTCTCATGTATCAGAAGGTCTGTGCTGGTGAGTGCCCTGGTCTTGGGCGATATCCCAACAACATCTCTCATCACGCATCAGGTCTCTGACCAGGAAATTCAGGCCATTGTGATTCTGAGAGAATCCAGCCCGTCTTTTACTGATAAACCAGTTTGGTGGCTGGATTGCAGTGTGGACTGATACCAACAGCACAGGTTCTATTCCCCTCCTGGCTGTGCTGGTTCAGCCAGCTCTGCCTCCCAGCCTTCGCCCACACATCGATGTGGAGTGGTGCTTCTCATTTCTGACTGTTATCCTTCTCTGAAATAGAAAGATAACTATGGCCCCTTCAGGGGCTATGGCTCCTTCCTTGATAAACAACAAAACTCCAATGTCATATGGCATTGAGAGTGAAAACCAAAATACAAAGAGCAAATTAGAGATTAGTGTAAACCATTTGAGTTGAGTTCAAGGTTTCATCAACTTTGTAACAACAGGATTCATTTATGCTTTATTAAGAGGATGAAAGAACAGGTTTAGGCATAAAAGCAAAGTTCAGCCTGATATTAATAGAACAATGTTTTCTGTAGACATTTTGAATCAACCTCTTCAGATACCATAGGTGCAGGTGGGACTTGAACCTAGACCTCCTGGCTTATGGACCTTATCTCTGGACCATAAGGATACTATCATTTTACTCAGCTAATTCAGAAGTGCTATAATATACCTTTGGAGCAGAGCAGGTGGGACCCAAGCCCTGGTCTTCTGGGCCAGAGGTCTGAATGTTACCAACGTGCCAGAAAAGGCCACAATGTAAACTCTATACATGCTGTGTGGCATCATATTGGCAGTGCGTACTTATTTCCTTGTCGATTTTGACGTTCTTGCACCCTGGGTAGTTGTAGGATTTGCAACGTCCCGTGGGGAATTTCAGTGCTCCCCAACATCTTCCCAGAATGCCTTGGGCTCTGAGCAAGAGCCGTATTTTCCATCTCCATGGTGATGGAAGTGGGAAGCATTGCAACCTTCAAGAAATATTTAGGTGATCACTTGAAATGCTGTAACATACAAGGCTATGGACCAAGTGCCAGGAAACAGGATTAGGGTAGAGTAGCTTGATGACTAGCATGGATTCTATGGGCCGAAGGGCCTCTTTCTATTCTGTAATACCCTATGACAATGACAGAATAACTATGGCAACCTACCCAAACCAGCTGCCCACTTCCCCACATACCTCATCCATCCACCCATTCACACATTTAAACTTGCAGTAGCTATTGTATTGAAAGAAAATGTGTTCCCCAACTCCACTCAGCTTCACATCTAGTCTGCCTTCCACGTTTCTTACATCTTGGAAAGCCGCAGAAGAAACCACAAAATCGCAGGACTGTGACGGTGCAGAAGGAGACCATTCAGCCCATCGTGCCTGTACAGGTTCTGCTACTGAGTGCCAAATCTCCTGTCCTATATCCCTGCACACCATTTTTATGGAAATGTGGATCAGCATCAAATGAGCATATATCTCCTAAATGGGAGCAGACTGGTGATCCGACCCATCACTGGAAGTCCTCAGAAGAAATAGGCAGCACTCTACTGAACATCCTGAGGAGTGTCCATTACCATCGTTCCATCAGCAGTGGCCATGTTTTCAACTGCCTGAGGTCTGGAAATCCCTTCCTCCTCCAAATTGTCTTGACTTTGCTTTTCTTATTGAAGATACTTATCAAAACTAAGCTTTGGAACATCTGACCGCAAATCTCTTAAGAACTTGGAGTCACCTTTTCTTTTCATTATCTTGGGGCCTTTTCATTTGCGAGAAGAGGCACTTGGGGTGGCATGGTGGCTCAGTGGTTAGCACAGCACCAGGGACTCAGTTTCAATTCCAGACAGGAGTGACTGTCTTTGTGGAGTTTGCACGTTCTCCCCGTGCCTGTATAGGTTTCCTCCGGGTGCTCTGATTTCCTCCCACAGTTCAAAGATGTGCAAGCTAGGTGGATTGACCCTGCTAAATTGTCTGTGGTGTCTAGGGATATGCAAACTAGTTGGATGAGCCATGGGAAATGCTGGGTCACAGGGATAGGGTAGTGTGCTGTGTCTGTGTGGGATCCTCTTCAGAGAGTCGGTGCAGGGCTCAATGGGTCGAATGGTCTCTTTCCACACTGTAGGCATCCTATGATTCTATATATCAGT